CCTATATAGTAGGTACCGGGGGGGGGTTAGGGTTAGGGTTTAGGAGTTAGAGCTTTAAGGATTTATAGGGGTTGGGGCTGTTTGGGTCTAGGGTGTAGGGGGCTAGGGGATTCAGATTCATGGGGCGCAGGGAATCTCTGCTGCTGGATGCTCAGCCCCTCAGCCCTAAACTCCGCACAAGCCCCCAGAACCCCTGCCTAGGTCGAGGGGTAGCGGCAAAATGTCGGCGATTGCATCGTGCATCGCCTGCTGTGCCAGGCTTCTGCGAGGTTGGATGTAGGGCTTGCACGGAGTTTGTTGTCGAACATGTTGTGTCCGTTTCATATGCGGCAGTGTATGTCTCCATACATCTCTCTCTATTTCTCTCGATATCTGCCGCATCTGCATCGTTACAAATATCTGATGTGCGTTTAGTGTACAGAGAACAGCGACATTCAAATTACGCCAACATTTCTACCGACAAAGCATCCGAGCTGATAAAGCAAGGCATAGCGTTTTTCGTTTCAGGCTGTTCGAGACTTGCAGGCCTCGATAGTCGAGGGTCAAAACCTGAGTACATGGTCGAGACCCAAAACCCTAAACCCTAAACCCCAAACCCTAAACCCTAAACCCTAAACCCTAAACCCCGAAACATCCCAAGCTGCTGTGTGGTTTCGGGTTGGCTTGGGGAGCGCGATCTTAAGTCGTCAGTCGCCTGTCTACGAGACCGACTTCCTTCCTCGTTTCAAGACCCGACCTGCAGATCTAAAGTCCTACTGTAGCGACTAGAATAAGTAAATAGGGCTGATTGCCTAATTTCTGCACCAAACCTACTCGAAAAGCCCTTGGAACCCTTATCGTCAACAACAAAGCAACGCGCTAAGCTCAATATCATGAACGCTATATTCCAACCCCTGTTTGTAAATTTCGGGCCGTGCTAATCGCTACGCTGAACCCCCAGGAGTGCCTGGAGACACTCCTCCACCAACCTTGGGACAAAAGTGAAGCGACTCACGCCCAACCTCAAACCGATGGCGCCAGGAGGCTAGAAACCTCTCTAAGTGTTTTCAGTATATTGATTCATCCGGTTACCCAAACTGGGATAGCAGGGCTCAGGGATATGAAAAGGGCTCGGATGAGCGTTGGTCCTCGAAAACCCTTGATTTGGACCCCACGAAAGCAGATTGGTGCAGAGGCCGTGGGGTGCTGGGACTCAGGTCACGGAGTGGTGCCGTTCCTCGTGTAGGAATTTAATCAGGTTCTTACAATTCTATACAGCGCCAGTGCACGTTTCAAGTTTGTAGCTTGAGGAGAGGTCTTCAAACCCGGAGGTGGCAGCGGTTGTATAAAGGATCTTCCACCCTAATGTAGGGGCCTTAATAATTAGAATAGGGTTTTGGGGTATATTATACTATAATTCTAATAAAGAACCCCCCAAACTCTACTTAAATTATTAAGGCCCCTACATTAAACTCTAAACCGTAAACCCCAAATGCTACTGCACGCTTCGTCAACACAGTCTCAGGCTCAGGCTCCCTGAGGTTGGGTTGGGCCACCGCTTCAGGGTTGAAGGAATTTGAAGGTACTATACTATAGTAGACTAGTTTAGTAAGTTTAGGGTTTAGCGTTTAGGAGCAGTCGAATGTACCATAATGTACTCTAGTGTATGTGTGTATATATATATATAATATACTATAAGGTACCACCGTACGATTAGAAGCCCACGATGGACATCTGGCGCATCGAACCCCGACCTTGGCGCAGCAAACATATCGAGCCCTTTGAACCCATAGCAGCTAGGCAGCTTATGCATCTGCAGGAAATCGGAAGAAATGAGAATCGACACGATGTCCTGGCAGCTGGCAGAAGACTGCAGCAATGGCTTAGGGTTCGGCCAATGGTCCTTAAAGTCTTAGGGTGGCGCCCGATCTTTAGTTGCAGCAGCCGACATCCTCTTGACGAAAACGGCCATTACATCCAGTATCGATAGTAGACCAGCGTATCCTACACCCTAACCCCGCAACTCTAGCACTGGAGATGCGTGAACTTAAGCCGATGGTAAACAGCACAGCCTGAAATTAAACCCTGAGCGCTAAAGATCGTAAAGACAAGGCTCAACTTCCAACAAAAAACCCAAAGGGTCCTAGTTACTATGCTAGTTACTGTTATGGGGAATACTTTCCCAAACCATCATGGAGCAACCCTCGATTCTTACGTTCGTCTGTCCTTGGGCTCCAGAGAGCTGACCTGACGGGTGCCTTCCTCAGTTCAGCGAGAGGCGGTGTCGAATTGGGTTTAGGGTTTTAGGGTTCAGGGTTTAGGGTTTAGGGTTCAGAGTTTAGGGTTTAGGGTTCAGGGTTTAGGGTTCAGGGTTTAGGGTTTAGGGGTTAAGGGTTTTAGGTTTTGGGGTTTAGGGTTTAGGGTTCAGGGTTTAGGGATGAGAGCTTCTACGTTGATTAAGTCTTGGGACCCAAACTAAACTAAACCCAGGAGTCTGTGATACTTAACCTGAGCCCACGGTTCTTATCCAAATCTAAAGTTCAGAAGAGCCTCCATGTACTCTGCCAGCCACTCGAATACCTCGTCTTGCACACAGATAGCACGGCTTCAATAATCAACAAGGTCAGGTGGGTGCCTACAGCCTGAATTGTGGTACTGTTTTTTGTAAGTTAAAGTCCCTTTGGGGTTCCCTAGCATAAGAGTGACGTACTCGTGTTTGTGACCCACAGAATGGACCCGCACTAGGAATAACTGCTCGCTGCAATGAACAATCGCTGACAGCAGAGGAAGTTGATGCTGTTCACAGTGCAGCAGGCAACTTCTGATATAATGTAGAAGCCTTAATGGTTAGAATCGGATTTGGGGGCCCACTACGGTACAATTATACTGCGGACCCCTGAGGAAAAACATAGGTGATTAGTTAGGCTTCTGTATTAGACGGCTTGTTGCAAGTTAGGGTTCCCGCCAGAACTAGTCGAACAAGCAACCGCGAGAATACAGTTCTAAACGCTAAACCCCTAAACCCAAAACCCAAAACCCAAAACCCAAAACCCCAAACTAAAGGGGATCCGTATCCACGACCCCGGATGAAGCAAGCCCGAGGCTGATAACTGGGTCTTGGCAGGCTCCGGGATTCAGCACACCCTGTAACACTGTAGCCTTCAGTTAGCCTTCTTTTGCAAACTTCTCTGATCAACCCTTGCTACGGGTTTATGGTTTAGGGGTTCAGGGTTCAGGGGTTTAGGGGTTTAGGGTTTAGGGGTTTAGGGTTTACCCATAGGCCCCATAGTAGTTCCTTTTTGGGATTACCTAATAGGATTCTGTATATGGACCCCAAAAAGGAACTACTATGGGGCCTATGGGTTTAGAGTTAGACCGCCTCTAGGTTTCAACTGGCAGTTGCCGAATGCAGCATTGCACGCAACTCCATCGTTTCCACCTTCGGTCCCAGGCACCTTGGGGTTTCGGGTTTGGGGTTCCACCTTCGTCCGAGGCACCTTGATGTCACAATGCACCGATATTTCCACTTCGTCTTCCTCAGTATCAGGCAACAGTGCCGAACGCGAAGCTCTGACCATAAACTCTAAACCCTAAAACCAAAATCCTAAACCCTAAACCCTAAACCCAAAACCCTAAACGCTAAACCCTAAACCCTCAACCCAAAACCTAAACCCTAAACCCTCAACCCAAAACCTAAACGCTAAACCCTCAACCCAAACCCTAAACCCAAAACCTAAACCCTAAACCCTCAACCCAAAACCCAAACCCTAAACCCTATGCAGAGCCTCGCTCAAAACGAAAATCATAGGCCTGTGACCCAGAGCCGAGAACCAGAAACCTGCAGTCCCGAGACGCCCGGGTTTAGGGTTTAGGGTTTAGGGTTTAGGGTCACCCTGAAATCTCGGATTCCAAACGTCTGCTTCACAACAAGCGCCATAGTAGTGTTGTAGAAGTGAGCACCCCAATTAGGTTTGGACCTCAACTGGTTCCCTGTTGGAGTAACATTAAAATGGTATCCAACAAGGACCCAGTCAAAGTGAAGGCCCAAGGCTTGAACCCGGACAGGTCGCTGCAGACACTCCGGCCAAGCAGGACTCAAAGTAGCGCCTCGGATGGTGCTTCGCCAGAGCCCTCAACCCGGAACGCTACACCTGCAGGGCTGAGGCTATAATTACCCTGGACCCAAAACCCAAAACCCTTAATCTTGAAACCCTCAACCCTAAACCCTAGGCCCTAGTCTTTATAGGTTTTGAAGACGGAAGACTGAATTCGACAGTCTCGCTGCTACCGAAGAGCGATAATTAATGGGTGGGCGATACCGACACAACTACCATAGGTTCAGGGTGAGGGTCTAGGGTTTGGGGGGGCCTTAATAATTCTGTCAGGTGCTGAAGGGTACTTGAAGGGTGACTCTAAGGGCTCAATATAGGGGCCGGAAAATCGGAATAAGGCTTTGAAACACCTTATACGAAAGTCATATGTAACATAGCAACCTATAGCCTAAGGAATGGAACGACTAGCTATAGGGTTCTTCTACCCCAAACCCATGTGAAGTCTCTTTCTGTTTGGCATCGAAGCACAGTTCAGAGCTCTCGAAAAACGACGACAGCCGCTAGATTTGGCGCGAGGTATAGTATGGTCTACTCATACAAGGACCATAGAAGGGTATTGATACTAAGTGTTCCGACATATTAGAGTTTCGACAGTAGCGACCCCCAAGTAGTTCTACTGACCGGGTGTTGCCAGCATGTTTCTAAGTCCTCTAAGCTCTGAGGAGAAGCCAATGTTTGATTCGTTCGCACCTGCCTAGTGCAAACTCAACGGAAAGGTCAGACGACCACAGGGTCAAAAGGGGGATTGGCTGCTCGGCTGACGTGCAGTATCTGGCGAGCTTGTCTGCACAGACTGTTTGCTCGTCGCGGGGAATGATGGTGCCCTGGTTGCTGGGATGCTCGGCTTCGGATTTGGGTAATGTGTCGGAGGTTGCGGCGAAAGATGAACGGAATGACAGTTGGCCAAGGCACATATGCTCCAAAAGGAGCGTATGCTTGCACATGAAGTCCCGACGAATCTGTCTGACATCATCAATAACATGGATCACAGTATCGCCATCGCTGCTGGTGACCCCACGCCCACCTGAGACAGCCAGCGCAGTGAAGATGCAGATTCCACCAGAACTTGCCCCCTGGAAGCCTAACTGACAAGTGATCGTGCATGGAACACAACCACGGCTCATCATACGAGCAGCCTACTGGAGCATGGATGCCCTGATGAAAGTCCAAGAAATCCCTGAAGTTCCATGTGCCCAAATTGTATATACTTTGGCCCCAAGGTACCTGACTCTAAATCAAGGACTGCCTTAAGGCCAGAGCATAGAGTATTTGGGTATATGGAGCCTTAGGGAATGCACCCTGGATGCAAAAGCCCTAAACCCTAAACCCCTAAACCCCTAAACCCCTAAGCCCTAAACCCTAAACCCTAAACCCTAAACCCTATAAACCCTATAAACCCTAAACCCAAACCCCTAAAACCCCTAAACCCTAAGCCTAAACCCTAAGCCCTAAACCCTAAATCCTAAACCCACCGTTTTAAGGATCCCATAACTGAACCCTGGTCCTTCCAGCCCTGCAGGTCTAGGGTTTAGGG